GAAAGTAAAATCATCTCTTTTCCTTCTTAAATCATGTGCCAGCTGTACTGATGTACCATTATTCAGGCACAAATTCATTAGAGAAGTTCTACTTCCCATCCTATTCCAAAATAGCACGATTCCTTTGAAAATATTTTCATTGATCAATATGAGATGGAAACTTTGGGAAATTAACTCATATAGATTGAATGTGTAATATTTAATTTGTTATGCAATAGTCTGTGAAAGGAATGTGTTGTGATTTATTCAGCCATGCTTCTTTTCTATTGATTAACCTCGCTTTGTTTCTAGTTTTTTTATTGTTACAAACAATGTAGCAATAAATTCCTTTGTATATATAGTTTCAAGTATTGTACTTTTGTTTATTATTACTCTCATTTCTGTTGAATTACCAAGTGGAATGGCTGGGATAGCTTATGCATTTTTAATTCTAAAATTTACTGCTGTATTACTTTAGAGGTCATAGTAATATAGTAACTGATAGAAAATGAGTGCCTATTTTTATCGATCTTTTAGATGATTTAATAGCACATAATACATTAATATATCCTAACATAATACAATTGTACACTTCAGTTATCTTGTATTATATATGCAGATACATGTGTGTACTTGTCTTCAAGATTCATTGCAAATGCATATTATGAAAAAAACCATGCAAGAACGTCAAAGATTGTTTGCACCAAAGTAAATATATCTTTTAATTCTATTTTCCCCCAAACTTTTTGAAGCTTCCTCATGTAAGTCTCATCCATCTATCAGTAGGCCCTTGGGTTATCTGCACATTTGGCTATTGTAAATAATGCTGCTGTGAACATGGGTGTACCACTATCTGTTCAAATCCTTGCTTTCCCTTCTGTTTTGGTATACACACAGATGTGAAATTGCTGGCTTATGTAGTCCTTCCATATTCCCTTATTTTGAGGAATCACAATATCTGCACTATTTATACTCCCAACGGCAGTGCACAAGGGTTGTAGTTTCTCCATATCTTCACTAAAACTTATTTTCTGTGTTTTTGAATAACATCCTATGGTATGTAAATGGAAACCTCATTGTAGTTTTATATTTTTCTGATGATTAGTGATCTTGAGTTTATGGGCCATCTATATGTCTTCTTTGGAGAAATGTCTATTCAAGTCCTTTGTATACTTTTAAATTTAGTGGTTTTTGTTATTGTTGAGTTGTAGGAGTTCTTTATAGACTTACGATAGCAATCCTGTAACAGAGAGATGATTTTCAAATATTTTATTCTGTTCAGTATATTGTCTTTTAATTGTGTTAGTGTCTTTTGATGAAGTCTAACCTATTTTATTTTTGTTTCTTTGTGCTTTTAGTATGACAGCCAAGAAGTCATATCCAATGTCATAAATCTTTTCCAATGTCATAAAACTTTTCCTTTGTGTGTTTTTTACAAATTCTTCTGTTTAGATTTTGATCCACTTTGCATTTGTCTGTTTTTGTTTTTTGTATGTTTAAGGCAAGGATTGAACTTAATTTTCTGGCATATGGATACCTAATGCTATTTATATAAAAGATTGTCTGTTCCCTATTGAGTGAAATTCCCTTGACCATATCTGTGAAAATTTCTGGGCTCTCTGTTCTGTTTCATTGGACTATACGTCTGTCTTTATATCATTGTCACCTTTTAAAAAATTAATTTAGCATTGAAGCAAGTTTTCATCTTATTTTAAAAATCTATTTATTTCCCTAAATGTCATTTTTCTCTTTAGGTTGAAATTTAGAAAAAACTTTGTCAGTTGGGATTTTGTACTGTAAAAGAATGGACTAATTTGTGGATAACTGATACCATTACTGTATGCTTTTGATCATTTATGATCACAGCTAGTTTCTTTTTAGTCAGATTTTTAAAATGTCTCTGAATAAAGTTTCAGAGTCTTCATCAGTTTCTTGTATACTTATTAGTTTTGTCTTTTTCCCAAGAGTTCTACTCTTTCAATGAGTTATTTTTTTTCCCACCACATTTTCTCAATGTTATTTTGAGAATTGAGAAAATTGTGAATGCTAGTGTTTTGTCTGATTATCTAATTGAATTCCCTTATTTTTATAATCTTTCTGATTTTAGGTATATTAAACATTTTTGTCCATGGTAATGAATTTGTTATTAGTTCCTATATTGATATCACTTATTGCTCATGTCTGATGACTAATGAATAGTATTCCTTGGGAGTAGGCACGAAAGTCATTCTAGTCCTTGAGTGAGTATATGCCTAAAATTCACCAACAAGTGTGATGATAGCTATCAATTTCTATTTGATAGACTTCATTCAGTTAAGGAAGTTTTTTTCCTACATTTTGAAATAAACATTGACTTTTATCTAATTATGATCAGCATAGATTGAGATCATCATTTTTTAATCATTATTAAGGTCTTAAATTGCGTTCTTCGTTTCTTAATTTTTAGCTAGTCTTAGTGGTTCTGGGATAAACCTTCTTTGATCATCTTATTTTGAATTCGAATGCTTTACTAGAATCAATTTAGTGATGTGTTATTTTGTACTTATATTCATGCTTTAGACTGATGCACAGTTTTCTTTCTTCTACTCTGATTTTACTGTTGGGGTTTTGTTCACCTTGTGATAGTTTGTTAGAATTTTGTGTTTTTTACTGTGAAATATCTTAATAGCAGTGACTTGTCTTTGATGGACCAGTAAAACCCACAACAGGGAGAGGATTTATCTTTTGTTTTCAGTGTCTTTGTGGTTATTTGGTCAGGTCTTTCCTTTTTTTTTTTTTTTAATATTTCTTTGCAATTTTGAGCATTTGCATTGTTTTAGAAAATGATCCATTTCACCTATGTTTCCAAGTGTATTTGCATAAACTGTACACAGTACTCTCTTAAGGTTTATTGTACCTAAACCCCATTCTCATTTCTAGTTAATCTTTCTTCAAGTAACAATCTTTTGTTTTCTTTGATCCACCAAGTAAACTAATTATTTTATTTTCTATCTTCTATTTATATATCTCTATATCCATATCTGATTTTATTTTATTTATTATTTTATTATTATGAGGCCCATTTGGTCTTATCCAGCTTTTAGAAAGTACACTTGGTCTACTTATTTTCAATCATTTCTTTGTTTCCATGAAATGCCAAATGCCCTCAAATTTTGATTTGTAGTGTTTAAGTATCATCATTTTATAAGTGGTCTATAATATTAATTATGAATTTCTTATTAATCTCAAACTGATTTAAGATATGTTTTTGTATTTCCTGGAGGTAAATTTTAATTTGGCCATTTTTTGTTGTTAATGTTTGGTTTTATTAAATTATAGCTGTAGAATATGATTGGCATAATTTCTACTATCAAAACTTTTGAAAATATTTTTCCAGTCTATCATCAGTCTTATAAATGTTCTGTGGATGTTTGAAAAGAATGTGTATTCTACTACTTTTGTTACTAAGTTCTCCATATATTTATTAAATCAAATACATTAATTGTGTTACTGAAATCCTCACTTTTGGGGTATGATTTTTCTATCATTTCTGAGAGAGAAGTATTAAAATATTTCCTAGCAGTATTAAACATGTCAGTTTCTTTTTGGATTTTAAATAGATACTTTTTCTAAAATGTGGTTTGATAGTTTAATGTTAAATGCATGCAGTTCATATCTTTCTTACGGATTATACTGTCTTTGTCTCATCTAATGCTTCTTGCCTTGGCTAACTGTACTTGTAATGTTGCCATTTCTGCTGTCTATTATTAGCATTTGCCTACTATCTTTGTCCTTCCCTTTATATTTGATCTTTCTGAATCATTTTGTTCTAGACGTATCTCTTGGAAACAGGTATACCTTGATTTTGTGTAAAGAAAACCCTAATCTGAAATTCTCTGTCTTTAAATTGGGAAATTTATGTGTTGTCATTTGCTAGGAAAATGGAAACATTTGGTCTCATTCTGACATCCCTGGTTGGTTTCCTATTTTTATGTAAATTAGTTTTTACCCTTTCATGGAGTGATCAGTTATCTTTATTGTTATTTTTTGTTATTGTTGTAGTTGGCTGATTTGAAGAGTTTACATACTACCACCATTCATCTAGGGCTTATGCCTGCTTTTAATATCATATTTGAACATGTTCCTTATTATTAATTTCTAACATTAGTATTCCTTCTCGCTTCCTCAAAATGAGACTGAAACTTTCCCTTTTACTTCTTTGTGACTCTATTACCTACTCTTTGTTGATATGGGCGGAAATTTTATTTCAACACTGTGACTGACATTTTTTACATCTTGCTCCATTTTCTAAGGAATTTTTTCTTAATAATTCAACTAAGATTAAAAGCATCATTACAAATAATTATTTGGATCTGTTTGTAAGTTTTGTGTATTCTCAACTTACTGTTTTTTGACTCCCATGCCTTTTCTCCTCCTTGGATTCGTTTTTCATTTTTTTGGCACACACTCTTGAATACGTCTTTAGAAAGGCTTTGTGAGTGGCACATTTTCTGAGTCCTTCAATGTCTGTAAATGGCTTTATTGAGTTACTGGGAATAGAAATGGAGAACCCACATCATTTTCCTTCTCAACTTTGAAGTTACTTTTCAACTCTATTTTAGAATTAAAATTCTGATTATTTTTTGAGTGAAAGAATGAAATAGGAGTGCAGTCATTTCTTACATTGTCAAGCTGTCTTATACTTGAGACATAATCTTAGGCTACAGGAATTCAGAGAAGGTACCACGGATCTACAGACAAGTGTCTGAGGGACAAAAAGAATGACAGAACTTGTTTAGGATGGTCTCTTCTGTGGAGGACACATTTCAGCTAGATAGCATGACAAAAACACAGATTTACCAATGAATTTATGACCGTATCTTCTCCAAATTCTGGGCTTTATATTAAAATGCTGGATAGAGTTAGATTAAGTAAATTTAGATAAGAATTATGCAAAATTTAAAATTATCATGCTCCCTATGAACTATCAATAAATCTTATTCTTGTGGTGGTATCTAAATATATGCTTTTCTCCTTATCAGATTCCCTGGGATAGGAGCTGGCAGACAAGGAATCGCCACTTGTTTTTTGTAAGTAAAGTTTTATTGGAACACATTCATGCACGTATTGTGTATGGCTGTTTTTATACTACAACAGCAGAGTTGGGTAGTTGCAACTGAGATTGCATGGCTCACAACGTCTAAAATATTTATTATTTGGCTCTTGATACCAAATGTTTACTGACTGCTATCCTGGGACATTCCTCAGGGCATAGATGACCAGAACAACAGCAAATCTTGACTTCCTTAGGATGTCTGATGGTTATACTGATTAAACATCAAAAACCCAGTTTGTTTGCATGTTATATTGAAATAAATCAAAGCTATCTCTCAATCATGTCTAATTGGTAATAAGAACTTGCCTTTTAAATGATTTTCTTCTTTCCATTTTGTTTCTCCTGTTCTGGGAGTTGTACAATTCAGCCTTGCGGTTTTCGTTTCTTTGACTGCGTGATGTGAGGGAAGTTGGCATTTATTCTAATGTGCCGTTGTGTGGGCTCGGGCTGTTGATTGCTTTTGGCCTAGGTGCTGTGCAAAGCTCCAAGGTTTGGCTTTATGAACACTGCCTGGCAAAACGGAAACATTTTGTGAAATTTTACAAATGTCACACACACCCGCACGCATACACATTTTAAATTGCAGAATTCTCCCCCTTGGCACACAACCTCCCCCAGGTTTTTGTTCTTCATAATAAATTAATAGACTTCCGTTCTATAGGAGCACTTTAGTGGGTCGACTTGCCTTTGCTTTGATGAAACTTGCGGTTAAAAAGTCACTGGTTTCCAGGACCTGCTTCATTGTTCGCCTTTCTCAAAAATTTAATACATACAGTCTTGTATTCCAAAGAGAAAGCAGCTTTATTGGAAGCCCAACTGTTCTCTCAGACAAAGATTCCTGTTTTGATTCTCATTGAAAACCATGTCTCAAGATGGGACCCAGAGAAACTGACCTCCCAGCGTCTCTCTCCCAAACCCGGAATGAGACACACGGAAATTGAATTAGGAGAAAAACCGGGGAAATACAATTCTCTTTGTGCATGAACCGAAGCATCTAAAAAATCATAACAAGAAAAATGTTCCTCCATATTTAGATTTTAGTCCTTTTTCTTCCATAGGCAACTAAGAGAGCCCTTTGCAAATAAATCATTGACTTCAGAATGAGGGGACTCTTGTCTCTGGGTCATTGGTAACATTGAACCATGACACTTTTGCGTAAGGTCTTTCAAGATGTCAGTGGGGGTTAGGCAGGCTTTACTTGTGTGGCTGGGTATCTGTATTGAGTATTGTGCCAATGTTAAGACATGCCCCTGGCTTAAGAAAAATTTTCCAATCTGACTACCAAATTTGCATCTCTCTGGGCTTCCAGCTCTGCTTCATGGTTTTCTGGCACTCTAATTACTCAGGCGTTACTTCTCTCAATGACATCCCACCCTCATCCCTTCAGCTTGACCCCAGGGTCCTTGCACCTGTGAGCTGCCTCCCCTGGCAGCCTCGATGAAATAGGCTTGGCTGCCCCATTCACTGAGCAATCCCCCTTTCAGTTCAGCCTTTTTAGGGTAACAGGAATTTGGCAGCCTTCTGCATCCAGGGTGTGCAAGAGCAACCAGGCCAAATGGGATTGCCTTATCATGCTGTTTGAAACACATCCTATTGCCTGGAGAGCAGACAGCATAGTTCAGAAACTAACGAGAAAATAGAGTGTCTTTGTTTTGTCAGTTACAGATCCGCCTTTCTGCATCAATCCCCAACTGTTGGGGGCTGGGGGAAAGAAACTCAGTGTTCAGGTCTGTAATTTGTACAGTACCACAGGTAATGCTCAGTGGTCTGGAATGATTGCTTTGGATCTGTCCTGGAAATGTTACAGTTAAAAATGTGTGCTCCAGAGTCAGACTGTCCAGGTTAAAACCAAGGCTTTGACTTACGACTCCGTAACGTGGGACAAGGGGCACAGACATTCTGTGCCTCTGTTTCCTCATATGCAAACTGGAGAAGAAGAGCTACCTTTGAGTTTTGCAATTTGGTAGCCACCAGCCACATACGGTCACGTAAATTTAAATTTAAAGTGATGAAAATAAACTGAGGATAGTGATTCAGTTCTTCAGTTGCACTAGCCACATTTCAAGCACTCAGGAGCCACCTGTGAGTGGTGGTGACTGTACTGGAGAGCACAGAACAAAACATTACAATTGTAAAGTTCTACTGGGAAGCGGTGGTCTACATCGCAAAGGTATGCTGAGAAGTAAATGAGTCAGTACATCTAAAGTGCTTAGTGCAAAGCCAGGCAAGTAGAAAGGGTTCACTCTCATGATCATGGTCATCAGCCTCTCTATTCTCTGCTTTCCCAATTTCTCTTTAAAATGGTGACCATGTCTAGTGCAGAAGGGTAGGGTTACTCCACCTTGGGTACTAAGGTGTCTGTGTAACAAGGATTTGCATTAAGGTGTCTGTGCAACAAGGATTTCTTTTTTAAGGAAAGACATCATAGCAGAATGATCGTGACTGACAGCCTTTCAGCCACAGGACCCGTTGTGAATCCCAGGCCTGCCACTTAGTAGTGGCAGAGTGATCTCAGGCTAATTGCTCATTCCTTCATTCTGTGTCTCAGCTTCTACAAGGTGTGAAATTATATATATATATATATATATATAGTATAGTAAAAAATATATAATATATATATATAGATACACTATATATAATCTAGTAGAGTAAAAGCCCACAAAATTTGTTGGGACTTGAATTGACTTAGGAAAAGTAATTACAACAGAACCTAGGACTGTAAGTTCTCAAAAAGTTATTACTGTCCTTAATATTATTGTTTCTGTACTGATAGCAGCTCCAGAGAGGCACCGGAGTACTGCAGCCCATCTAGTCTTGGAGTGATGACTCTTTGTCACTCTGCTGACTTCTTGGTGGATAGAACTGGCAGCTGATTTGATCTGTGGCTTAGTAAGTGTCAGGGAGGCTAGGGCTATATAGCCCTTCCAGGTTACATTTTTTTTTTCGTGGCTTCCTTGTTTTTAGAAACACCTGTGCCTCTGCCACACCTTCCCCTTGGTCTCAACCTCCACAGCAAGGTCTCTCCCATCTCATCATGGCTGGCCTCTGGGCATTTTCCTCTTTTCCACTAAGATTTCAACTCCTTTGGGAGCTTCAGGAACTTCTGTGCTGTATCCAGGCTGGTCCACAGGTTGATTTTGAGATGGCTAGAATCTAGGTAGAGCTGAAATAGGAATCTGTGCAAAAGCTTTCTGTCTTTAGTGTTTCCTTCAATTTACCTTAGACATCATTCCCTTTCTCCAGTCATTTCACATGGATATGACCCTTATTGTGTCCAGTCAAAGTATCTCGGTCCATGTGGGTCTGCTTAGAGGAAAAATTCATGTAGTATAGATCACAGGAGAAAGGAAAATCCTCAACCAGGCATTCCTTAAGACTGAGTCATTCCAGAATATTCTCATGCTCTTCTGGGCCATCATCATCATCACCTTATGCCTAGAGAGACCCTGATGGTGATGCTACAACCCACCACTTAGTCATGACTTAAAGTTGGAAGCAGATTTGGGGCAGGTGTACCCAGATGTATCAAATGATTTTACTTCCATGAATTCTTCCAGACATATCAAGTGATTTTACTTCCATGAAGTCTATCATCAACTAGTAACTGGGATTCTGAAGTTGTATGGTAGAAATGCCAATGAAGGAAAGCATGAGATTAATGCATCAAACACCGTGGAAGTAGAGTTAGTAGATTGTCCACAGATTAGATATAGCAGGTGAGAAAGAGAAGACTTAAGTCTGACACAAGGTGTTGAACTTGGGGATTGAGAATCCAAGTTTATATACTGCCTTCCAGTTGTAGTCACTTCTGAAGCATAGAGCCCAGATATTAGCTGTGTAATATACCCTTGCTGATGGTAAGCTGATGGAATTATTATTTTTTATGGGTTCTAAGAAGGCAGATCCAAGAACCTTGATATTCACATTCATGACACTATATATGAAATGTAAATGTAATATCTTAAAATTAAAATATACAGGTAGCAGTTTGGACATGGTATCTATAACATCAGTAGTTGAGTTTTTCAAATAAAGCCACAAGTAATAGAAGTAAAAGATAATGGTGATTCTCCTTGGAAATAATATATATTCATTTTTCTCTTGTGGTTTAATGGTGTGCAGCGCCAGAACATAGGTTTAGAGTCGAGTTATATCTCAGGAAGGGGAAGTTGCCTTTCCCTTTCTTAAATGAGGATTTGCATGGGATTTAAGACTTGGGGCCCTGCCACAGAAGAGTGATGTGTCCCCAAGGTGCAGCATAAATATTATTTGATGATGACAAGCACTTGATGAATAATTTTCAGAGTGTTGTTTATAATTACTGTGGTAATAATAATTATAGATCCAAAAGCAGAAAAGCATAACTATCAAATTTTAAGATAAAAGGTTAAATCTCATAGAAATGTGATCATTTTTAGTGGTTGTGGAGAAAATGTTAAAACGACTAAAGGAACATATGGGGAACTACCAGCAGACCAATTCATGTGTTGCAGCTATTTAACTGAATTACAAATGCAAAATGCATTCTTTTCCCAGTTTCATTCCATTTAAACCCAAATGGCTATGTGAAATGGTGTCGTACACCTGGTGAAAAGCTTTGCTTTTTAAAAATCTTATCGCTTCACCAAAGCGCCTGGTGCTGAACCAACAACAGCATTCTTTCCATATTTTTAAAATTAGTTTAACCACTTTTCAGAATATTCTGTTCTCTTTCCATGGAACAACTAAGTATTAAGAGACATTTAATTGAGCCCCTTTTCTCCCTTGTGGCTCTGTTGGCATCAGTGATGCTACAAGTCATTGTTAGGAAAGTGAATGAGAAGGGCTTCTTTCCCCCTTAAAGTCAGGAAAAACAAGGAGTGAAAAATATATTTTTGTTGTTGATAGAAGTGGAAGACTATGTTGTAAAACAGTAAGAAGCACCTTGCAAACTGCTAAGAGAATGAAACCTTAGAACGGAGGATCAAAACTCAC